TTTTGCCAGCAAAACCCAGGAACACCCCAGAGGTAAACAGACTGTGGCACTGCACACCCTCTTGGCCTCTCTGTTATCCCTGTTAGGAACAGGCTCCCTCTCTGCCACCCTCCCATGGAGGGGGAATGCTCCAACCCAGCTGCCCATGGACTCACCAGCAGAACAGGTTTCCTGAAGGTGCCCTGTGCTCTCATCCCACAGAGAATTTCACTTTGGAAGTCACTGCACAGCTACACTTTCTCCCTTCAGAAGTACACAAAGCTGAGAGCCAATGCACTCAACATATTTTGCAACAGACTTTAGAAACTCAACAATTTTTAACTTTAGCAAGCTTGCCTTTACTGATGATGCATTTACCCTTGTTCTCTCCAGGCAAGTCTATTAAGGCACCGATAACACTTAATCCTTGACCTGTTCACAGATAGATAAGCAGGCTGGTACCAGGTCTAGTCTCCCTAGCACAGAAGCATAAATTATAGCACAATGTGAGAAATTCCTGGGGATCTGAGCAGTTTATATAATCCCAGTGGAATTGATAAATATGCTTCAAGATATTCCTTGTGTTGTAGCGATTAATTTGTTTTTATTAATGTACCACATCTTTGAATGTTGTAATCTCATCCTAGCTCCAGGAAATTGCTGTGATCCCTTCTCCAAAGCTCTTAAAATGTTATGTTAGTCACAAGTCTATTACTGAGATTAAAACACTAAGAGAGTAAGGGGCACAGTATGATTCTGGTGAAGAGGAAGGTTACAGCTACAAGACTGCCAGTTTTTCTGGGGGAATCATATGAGATTTAGGATAATTTTTTTCTCCTGCCAACATTAGATTAGAAGACATTCCCATGTTGGCATGCAATGTGTGGACTTCAAAGGGAAAGTGTTTTGAGTAAGGAGAGAGTGACTAGAGTTTTCCAAGAGGAGTGCCCATCCCATGAGCACCCTAGGCACTTTTTTTGAAGTAGACGTTTACATGTTTCAGCTATTTTAGGCAACGCTGGAGGACTTGCCAGCTTCTAACAGACTGCCCAGGGAAGTGACTGAGTCACCATCCCTGGAGGTATTTAAAAAACATGTAGACGTGGCTTAGGGACATGGTTCAGTGGTGGACTTGGCAGTGTTGGGTTAATGGTTGGACTTGATATCTTAGCTTTTTTCAGACTAAGTGATTCTGTGATTCTCTGGGTCATGAACTGAAGTGAGAGACAAACAGCAGCTTTCCTCAATGTGGTCCTCACCCTCCACTGCTCCTGCAGAGTCTCTCTCCTTGCTGCCTTCCCACCCTGAGGCCACTCTTGAGGCAGGAATAGGTGGTTGGGTCTTTCACCCAAAGCTGTCCCAAGCATCCGAGGTAGTGGTGCAGCTTCTTGCTCTCCAACGCACAGTCTTGCTGCAAAAGACTGTGGATGAGGAGCTACTCACATTTTAAATCCTTCAGTTACAGGTTTCCTCAGAGTTTCACTTTTGAGCAGTGAAATTTGGTCACTGTTCAGCGCTGACCTACAGTTCATGCCTATGTTGTGAAGATGGCAAGAGTTGGTCAAAGGTCTCCATTCACGACCTTTACCAAAATTCAAATAACTGCTTTGCCAAAATTGCACTGGAAATAGTAGGGCTTGTCTGGGGGAGAGTGGGAAAAGGAGGGTATTACTAAAAGTTTTCAGACAAACTGGAAAGAGGATGTTTTGTAAAAGGCAGAGGAAAATTGTTATTAAAACAGGCACGTTTTTCTGGATCTTCTTTCTGAGTTTTTGGCTTCTGAAAAGCAGTCTGTTAATTAAATGAAAAAATGCAAGAAGAAAAGGAAGTTCTGGCTAGTCCTAGAGCTGAATGTAGATATGATGGCTGTCTGTAATAAAACACCTTGTCTCCTTCCCTCCCTGCCTCCCCTCTTCCCTGACCTTTCCCTCTCTCCCTCTATCCTGAGTATGGATGTCACCATAGATTTTGCAACTGTGCAAATTCTTGTCCAGCAACAATTTCAGAAAATCCCAACCGGATGACACAGTAATGTTAAAACAATGGCCTTTGAATTTTGGCTGAGCTGATTAAAAGAAAATAACTTAAAAAGTGCTTTAAAAGCATTAGTGGATTCAGCCTAGCCAACAACACAACAAACAACATTTTTATTTACTTAGTCCTCCTCTTTTTTTAATGACTTTTCCATTGAAATGTTTGCTAATTTAAAGCAGGAAAATCACCAGCTATGCCAGTATAATTTGCACCAATTAGTCACCCAGAAGTTGGTGCAATTCTATTTTGATCATGCAAAACAGCAATAGCCTAAGGGTCTGTACAAAAAGAGACTAACACACAGCATTAATATATTGCTAAAAATACCTCATAGGTGAGCACATATGCATAGACCATAGAGTGTTCCTTCTCCCCGAGGAGAAAGGTAAAAAGTAGATTTGTAAGGGTTTTTTCTTTTTTGGGGGGAAGGTGAGGGGAGTGTTTCATTGGTTATTTTAATGACATTTAAACATGAGAATATTCTTGTCTAAAATATAAAAGGGAGAAGTACAAGAGGATAAATACTAATCAAGTATAAGCAAACATTACAATTATCAGTTTCTTCTGCCTAACATTTCCCCAGTTACAACTGAAGATATTATTCTGATAAGGACACAGTAGTTTCTAGTCTAAGTAAATTTCAGGACTCTGAGAAGTTACAGAGCTGGCTTTAGCTTTTTGCCATCCTGGCCTGTGACAAAATCATTGAGCCTGAGAGGGGTCAAAGTGTGGCACTCAGGAGGAAAGAAAGAAGTGTGCATCTCCTCATTCCTTGGGAACATTTTGCCCTTCTCTTTGTTATTTGCAGCATGAAGAAAGAACTATTGTTGCTACAGATGTAATTGCAATTTTGGTTTTGATTTGTATTACCTGGAAATCAAACTGGAGCCTTCAAAGGGCAGGAGGGCCTACATGGCAGCTCTCTGGAGTCTCAATGGCTACAGTGTGTCTGTCTATATGGAAAATATTTATAAAACATGCTTGCTATGAGGACTAAATGGCAACATGGGATGTCTGCCAATAACCTCAAATCTGTAGTGAGAAATAATTCAGTCTGCTTGCAAGCTGATTTCCAGCCTTCCTCTCCTGTATAGGCTGTTGATTTGTCTGTGATTTACTAAGAGTAGGTACAAAACATATTTTATTAAGGCAACATCTTCCACTCTAATCATGGTTCTTAAAATAAAATGCCAACACTTTACTTACTGGCTACCCAGCATGTTTCAGGCCTACTTTTAAACTTAGTACACTGTTGTAAGTAGAGGTCTTCATTACTGCTGGCAGCTTTCAGAATCAGTCATTGCTAGATTTAGCTTCTGCTCTCCATATATCATCAAGTATCTTGAAGCCAATTCATTACCAGAAGGCTGATGTGTGTCCTTGATGCATTTTTCCAGCTTATCTAAGTTGTTGAAATTGTCGAGAAATGAGCACTTAAAAGTGAAAGTCCACAGGTATCAAGCTGAGTTTCAGCTGTCTGGTAAGTGAAGATTCAAGTGACATTTACCACTTACTTCTTATCAACCCCTGTAACAGAGATGACAGAACATCTCCTTGAGAAAGCCCTCACTGTTCTCACCAAAAGCAAACATGGAACTACCGAAGTCAGGCATGGGAGATGTTTCCTAGTCTGTTGTAACAATGCCACGTGTGGGTTTACAAACCTGTAGTCCTAAATATATGTGTGTTGCTTCTAGCTGCATGTGGAGCAGAGCCTTCGAGGCTGCAACTTTCAGACAAGCCGTGTTGAATGGTGATGTGACATTAAGTGTGATGGGAAGAAGATGAGCCTCAAGGGACCTGTAGAGTTGCCCAACTCCTCATTTAGCAGGGGAAATGAATAAATGTCTAACCTGTGCACGTGCTAAAGATTTGCATTGCTAAGGTGCTGGCATGCCACATCTCCTTGGACTCAGCAATGAAGGTTCTAAAGGCTGGCACCAGTACTCGGTCAGTCAAGCTAGGAACTCGCCCTGCATTCTCTTCCTGTTAGTCTCTGCTTTTAGTTGTGTCTGCAGTCACATCCTTTGTACAGCACATGACAGCGATTTTAGGTGTTTGTACAAAATGTAGCTTTCAGGTGTAAGGACTGAGCATGAAGTAGACGGTTAAGCTGACCTAACTGTGGGCTGCTGCTGAAATGAGTGGCCCCACTCCCCTTCCCCTTGTCCACAGAGCAAGACCTCTCACTCCTGCTGCTTCCTTTGCACTGGCACTGCTGTGTGTTCAACCCCACGATGTGCTGGTTCAGAGAGTTCAGCAAGCAAAGCCTGAGTTGGCTGCTCACACGATCGCAGCAGTGCTGGTTGTAGGGAAAATGGTGAAGAAGTATTGCTGGGGAGATGGAGGGTAGACATACCCTTTTTTGCAGCAGAGATGTTTCAATGCAGTGGATTTAGGATTAAATGTCACCCTGCTGGAGTGCAGATAGCATCTCATCCGCAGGAAGTACATGGGCTGCTCACAGGGAAAATTACTAACCCAGTTGTTATTCTCTATGTTTATGGTCATGAAAGTCTGAAGTTCACTGGCCACACAAATGGTGATGCCAGGCTGTGTCTGGCCTGTGCCAGGGGATATCCATATTCCTAAAGGCAGGTTGTAAGAGATAAAAATCACACAGTTTGCATGATAAAAATGCATCATCAGCTGCAGGTAACGCTCTGATGTCTGCATCTGTACAACCTGCAGAGAGGAGCCTGCAGGAATGGGAGCATCCCCAGGGGAGCATCCCTGCTCTGTGCCTTGCCTAAGGAGCTGGAAAGCAATGAGAGTGTTTGAGTTCAATACAAACTGCTCAGACTTTCCAGGCTCTGGCTCTGGCTCTTGCAGCTGAGACAGGCCCCGACAGCATTTTAGCTGGATGAAATAAAGAGAGCAGCAACTGGAGCCAAGCCAGGATGCAGTTAGCTGAGAGAGAGGGCTTCCTTTTCATTTTTATAAATTTGTTCCAAGACGGTTTTATTAAGCTTATTCTTTCTTCGCAGAACGCTAGTCTAGTTTTCAGAAGAGCTGGAGGCTGACTGGCAAACCGTTCCACCCGTGAAGCAATGTTGATCCCAAATTCCTGCCTGCTCCTGTGAATCCCAGCTAGACTTAAGATTGGAATGCTGAGGAGGTAGAGGGATCTCCCCTTTGAGATGCACAAGGACTAGCTCAATCCTTTGAGACAAGCTCCAGCCAGCATACCCTGTGATTCAGTGGGGCACTAGGTGGCCTTTTACAGAGTCTTCTTAAAGGGGTAACGACTAGGAACAAGAGAGGACCTAAAAGCCAAGCAGACTTAGGATACCATAACTGCAGCATTGCCATGGCTGAGTTCCCTGAAATTCAAATAAAGGAAGGCTTCCTAGAAACCCTGTTGTGAAACCAGACTTTCTTCTGTGCTCTTATGGCTGGTACAGGCTGCAGAAACACTTCCTGGGCACACCTGAATGTGGGGAATCCCCAGGAAGTTTTGGGTCATCCATTGGCACAGACAGACAGAAACTGCAAAGCTGGAGAATACCTGCAGCCTCCCAACAGCCAGACTGAGGGAGAAAGGAAGATCCTGGTGGAAGAGCAGCAGCTGTTCCTAGATTATGCTGCATGGAAAATAAAGTTGCTGCGACGAGAAAATTAGAGGCCAGAGTGAGGATGCAAAACAATGTTGATATCAAAGAGCTACAGACTGAAAAAGAAGAGTTTGAAAAAAAAAGTCAAAGGACCAAGTGAGGGGATATTCAAAGGAGGAGTAACAAGATATTCTTGTGTGCTAAACTCAGTGTGCAGGTGAAGCCTTGATTTTAGGTATGGAACAAAGGAAAAATGTGGGTTGCAGGTACACGCTGAAAATATGAACTATATTTTCCTAGAGGTCTCACCCCTAAGGCCAGGAGAAGTAATGGTCAGGATGGCACTGTGGTGCTGTTGATGAGAGCATGTCTCTCAGTACCCATCATAATCAGGGCTTTGGAAACTGATCCTTCAAGCTGCTCAGTGTTCTCAGTGTCACCAGACATCACAGCCATGGGAGCAAAGAAAAATTCATAGCAGATTCAGGATCAGGCACAACAAAAGCAGGGATATGGATTTCTGGGAGCCTCACTGTAGGGCAGAGCACATATATGTTGGTTAACAAGAGATTATTTAAATCTGCATTGAGATCACGGGCAAAAGCCAGAGCTTAGGAGACGGAGTGTGGTAGGAGTGAGGAGACTTAAGTGAATTGTATTGATGCAACTTGAGTCAATTTGTATCTGATTTGGTCAACAAGCCTAAAGCTTGTATAGATATTTGTATTTCAGAGGGATAATGGATTACTCCAGGTTAGGTCAAATTGACTTCAGTTAAGGTCAGACAGGTGCTCACATTTGGGCTGGACTTGTTTGTGAAGCTGCTGCCCCTTTGTGTTAAAGAACTAAGTGTGGGCGCTGAGTTAATTCCTGCTCCTCAGCTGATGGACTGCAACCTCGAGCTGAGGACAAACCTTGGGAACAGGTGTGCAAGCTCTTTGCCTCTTAGGCTAAGTCTGTGTGAACCACTCTTAAACCAATTGAAAAATCTTCCTGGAAAGAAGTTTCAAAACATCTTATATTTTGCTGTTGCTTAATTGCATCAGCTTAAAATTTCAATCAAACTGGTGGAAATTCACCTATAGCCTGCTCTTCGAGCAATATGGTTCTTGAAAATTAAACTGGCCTCAGACTGAAGATGAATGAACAGGAGAGGAAAAAAGCTTTGCCCTAGACAGGAATCTTGAGAGTGACTCTGATAGGTTTAACCTAACACAGTGCCACTGATATCAAAGCAGGTATTCTTCCTTTACACAGAAATGAATTTGATCAGTAGTTAAGCTGGTAATTCAGTATTATTCCACTAGATGTAAGGTTTTTATAACATTACCATCTTATTAATAGTCAAACCCTGAAACTTTACATTAGTGCCAGGGATGTGGGGGAGAAGCAGAATGAAGACTGGAAAAAGATGACATTATTTGCCCAGGGCAAATGATTAAAGAGTAATCTACTTTACAGTGTCACCTTTATATATTTTCTCCTGTCTACCATTGCCATAGTTTTCCACACCTCAGGGGAAGAGCTGGGACTCTCAGCAGAGCTCCTAAATGGGCTCTCCTTTCTGTGAGATACTTATTAATTTTTTTTTTCCAGAAAACAACAAGTAAAACCACCTCCAGACTTCACAGAAAACACAATGAAGTTAGTCCTGTTACTGGCATTGGGGAGTTGAACGTTGGGGCACAGACACTACTTTTATGCTCCTGGGCACCAGAGTGCTTGCATTGCTTTGACAAGATGACAACCCTTACTTTGATTTTTTTCATATGCATCAATATATTACATGGGTTTTCTTAAAGATACCATCAGCTTCTTTTTCCTGCTTATTTATTCAGCAAACCTTTCTGCATCTGAGAGAAGAACTTTTAATTTTCAGGAATCTGTGCTCTTTAAGTTAATGTCTGTTACTATATTCTTTTACATTTATAAAGCCTAAGCTCCTCACAGTAGTTTGTACAACCACTTCCTATAAAGATGTGTCTGTGATTAAATGTATACTATTGGGATAACCTGTGTGCAACTTCTGTCTCTCAGTGTTAACTACTGGTTTCTGAAACTCAACATGACTGTGCTACCCTGCCAGCCTTGCTGGACAATATAAATGATGTCCCAAAGATGCACGTTGACACATTCTTGTTTTTAGTTTCTGTTTCTTTTGTCTGCCTGACTGGAAATTTTACAAGAGTGCCCGTTGCCTTGATATCTAAACCCAGTATTCTTTTAACTGTCCTCTTTTGCCTCTGGTATTAACCTTTGGGTTAGAGAAACGTCTTTGGATAAATATAAAGATAGTTTACACAAGGTGTATATATCAGTCCATGCCTCCTCTTTCTGAGGCTGAGACAGAGGTGACAGCTATATGGGATGAACTCATTTGGCAACTCATCATGTTGATGTGGCCATTTCTTGCCTTTTTATTGCACAACATTTAATTGTGTAGCCTTTATTTGTCTTGCGTGGAACTACTTTTAAGAATATCTGATACTGCTCCTAGATCTAATCTATGAAACTTAAACCTGAACTGCAAGGCTAAACATTTATAATGTAAGCCCTAGATAAGAAATTCTGCGTTAGTAATGAAAACGCAAAGCTAAAATGCTCTTATTAGCCTCCCTTTTTATGTCAATACAGTTTCAAACAAGCCTTATGACTTTGGTAATTGAAAATGGTCTTTCTGTTCTCAAGTCTGCCTTTAGGCCTTAAATTCAGTCCAGGTTGATGTGACCAAAAGTCATCACCCACTCGACCGCTCTGTGATCAGCTACAAAATTTAAAGCTGTAGAGGTCAACTGTTTGGCTGTCTGTCATAATTGGCACCTGTGTTGAAAGTCTTAACAAGCACTTCAGAGAGGGAGCTATGGGTGCTGAATACAAAGGCTTTCTCAGCTCCAGAAGTCATCACTCACGCCACACAGCTGCATGTCAGTCTCTGTAATATATATCAGATTTCTCTTACAGTGGTTGTATCACATCTGGCCGCCTAATCTGGGATTAGGGAGAAGCATTATTCACGTCTAACCCCTGCAGAGGCACAGGTTGGGGAGCTGGGGGTTTGGGAGGGGCTGCTGTGGAGACCACACCTCCCAGGAGATTGCAGGTGGAGGTAAAGAAGAGCCTGTGTCTGCAGGGGCACACAAATAAGCAGCACATGATAAACAGATTGGGAAAAATAAACTTCTTGTGGGTCACCTGAAATAGTACAGCAAATGGTCAAAATGTTCTACAAAGGCTTTGAATATGATTTCTTAGGAGGTCTCGGGCAAAAATCTAGTCAGACCCATTTTACTGATTTTTTTTTTTTATTTATTTTTAATTTAGGACGGGATAAAGTAAAACACTTCAATGTTTTCCACTGCACTAGAAAAAAGAAATGTCTCTGAGGAGTTACTCTCTGCTTTCTCTGTTTTCAGTATTATTGATCATAGGCAAATGTTGAAAATCAATATGTTGACAGAATGGGCAGGAGCAGATTTTGAACATGACTATTGGGAATTTTTTCCTTGAATGCTTCTCTTACAGAAAAATAGAAAATGATGAAGGGCTATACAAGTTTTCCAAATCTGATAGATATGCAAGTTAGTAGACAAATTGTAGAAAAATCCTTTCATGCTTTGAAGACCAGGAGTTTCTCTTTGACAAAAGAATAAATAAAACTTTTTATTTTATATTTTCTTCAAATTGTTTCAGTATGAGATTTAGAAAAATATGCATAGAAAAATGAGAATATTAGAAAAGTGATACTTGAGGTGTTTAATTATCTTTCACCCTGGAGTGCTCTTTTTATGTATAGCAGATCTGAACAGAGTATCTTTTATTAAAATACTCCCAGTATTGAAAAGTGCAGCCTGCTGAGTAAAAAGATCCTTCTGACACGTACAGAACTTCTGAAGATCCTTTTGCATACAGTTTGGGCATATTTAGACCTTTCCTCTGAACATATTGAACAAATAGGTAACTTTGTTGGTGATGGGAGGTGATAAATGAATCCTGTGGAGCTACCAAAGGTACTTCTTAACCAGGTGTATGAGAAGTTGTCTCTCTGAAGCCAGTATTCACAAAGGGAGGGAAAAGTGGCAAGGCTTGTAGTACTTCATGGCATCACTTTTCTTCACTGCTATTGAATCCCTTTCCTACCCTCTCTTCAATTAACAACATCCTTGTGGAAAAAGAAAAATCCATTCAAGGAAGGAAGGAAGGCGATCCTTTCACAAGATATTTCAGGTCATTTTGACACCTATGGGAGCTGGTGAAGAGCCAAACTCTTATTACTGGGTTGATGGACTGGACTATAACAGCCAGCTGGAAACAACTGGCTTACTTTTCAGATCTCCAAGGATATTCAGCTTAGAAACACAACCTGTTGCATCTGCTTGATTGAACATTCATGTTGAATGGCCAGAAGAGCTCAGTCACAAAATCATGGCTAATTAAAAAAAAAAAAAAAAAAAAAGGCCAGTTCAATAAAAAGTCCTCATATCTGAGTTTCTAATCCACAAGCAATACGCAAGGTACTGGAGGAATACATCCTTTCCTGCACTCTCTGGCATTGGCTTGTGTTAACCTCTGTGTAGTTGGGTTGTTGTGAGCTTGTGTTTTCTAAAGATTGATGAGAGACTCTGAAACATTCTCCTGTCCCAATCTGGTGTTTTAAGGGTAGGATTGGGTTAACCTCTGCTCCTATGTGAGGTCAGGTTGAGAAAGACGCTAGAATTTCCTCTAATTTTTCCTGGAGTAGATAAAATCCTTGTTCTGAGAGGGACAACAAAAGGTCCAGCAATTTCAAGGCCTGCAGTGAATGCTCTTGATGGTTCATCTGGCAGCTGTAGCCTCTGTACCCTTCTTCACAACAGGTACCCCCACCCAG